AATAAATGGTTCATGATCCTCATTCTCCTCACAGCTATATTGCATGCATAATTATTCACGACGTCATTTTGATATCAATTTCATATTGTTCCAAACATGACATAGCTATTTGAGATTTCTTTATTCTCAGGCACCTAAATTTCTTTCTTGCCATATTTCCTATCTTTTTCGAGATCCTTATTATTTCATTCCTCGATTCTGCCATTTTCATTCATGCTCCTTTTTCTGAGGATTATTATATTTGGAACCGTTTGGTCTATCACGCTTCATGTGATATTTAGACTCAATAGAAGATTGATATTGTCCTTTTGGGGCATCCATTTTAACGGGAACATTTACAGCTGGTACTTTTGACTTAATCACTTTCTTAGGGTCAGTAAACAAGTCTGGCAACTCACATGCTAATTAACCTTTCTAATAGAATTATTTACATACATTCATTTTGGACTTTTATTCACACTTTTTAGTCCGAAGATCAATGGTAATTCATTTCAACTCATTAATTCTCCAACTGTTTTATTCATTAAATTTTTACTAACATGCTATTAATCAATTATATGTCAACAAATTTTCAATTAAGCATTCAAATAAAAATCAGATGACATGCTCAGATTAAGTTATCTAATCAAAATTTAGTTGACTATAAATTAATGTTAAGCATGAAAATAAAATAATATTTATCTCGTTAAAGAATAAATGAAATGGAATCTGGAGACATGAAAGTAGTCTTTGAAACACTTTTCTCGGCTCTCGAGAATCTCGTGCAGTATAAACCTGAGTTATTCATAGTTTGCTCAAGAAATATGACATCTTATACGTTAGACATCAAAACTCTGAAGTTCATATAACTAAACTTGAATAAGAAATAATAATAATATTTAAATAATTATTTATATTAGGTTTTTCTGTAGCAAACCACTTATTACTTTTTTTATTATCAAACAGCTGATCTATTACTCAAGCGACTTGAGGTGGTTGGGGTAACCAGACCGGAATAGAACAACCAACGTACACCAGCTTACGATAAAAAGACCTAGCTAACTTAGCTAGAGAATCTGAAACGCCGTTCTGAAGTCTAGGAACATAAGAAATCTTGAAGTCTGGAAAGCAAATCTTCAGTGTCGTCAATTTTTCCAATTCTGTTGAGAAGCTAGGTCATGCATTAGGATTCCTGAGCATTTCAGTCATCTCCTTACAATCAGTTCCAAAGCTCTGACATGGCGAATGTTGAAGCATGTTCTCCATTGTCCACCGCAGTGCTTCCAACTCTGAATGCAACGCCGATTCTACTCGATCAAAATTACGCACCCCCAATAGCTGACTATTTCCAGAATTATCATTCAAAACCCACTCACATCCACTGAAGGAGTCCGCTGAAGTCCAAGATTCATCCACCATGCAAATGTTACCCAAACTTAAGGCCTGGTCTTCATCTATTGCATCCCCAAGGGAGGGCGGTATATCCTGCTCATTTGCTTGGAACCATGCTTGGCATTCACTCTCTGCGTAGTGCGCCACTTCCAATGGTTCCCTATCAATGCCTCAGAATAACTTATCATTTCTAGCCACTTATAACTATAGTCACATCATTCACACACATATATATAATCATGCAAAATTCAAAGTAAGTATGGTATATCAAACCAATATATTTAACCAATAAATTATTTAGTAACAATCAAGAATTTAATCAAATGAATTTATTAACCTTGCATCAATGTTAAGCATAACAAGTGAATTCGATCATTCATTATGGGTATCATACTAAAACATGACCAGTTCTAAAAAGAGTTAATGGAACAATATGAGTAATTAAATATTATTGATGCAATGATTCATGTTGTACGCAAGTTAAGTTAAAGAATACATATTGGTTATAACTATGACACAAGAAAGCTTGACAATAAATACATATGCTTAGAAATATAATAGTGAACTAACAGATATGCATGTAATCCACAATAAACATCAAACAAACCATAGCAATTTATTATCGAGACTACTAAACTAACAACTTGTAACCATAGAAAACTTATACAAACCATAACCATGTTGTTGATAATGATAATGGTTTTCAAATATGAAAGAGACTTAGCTTGTTCAAAAGGAGATGATGTCAGTTAGAGACGTTGAGGTAGATCTAGGGTTTCACCAATCACACCGCAATAACCTTGCTTGGCAGGGAATGGACACAAGCATAACGCATAAGCGATCAGTTTAGATTCCATCTTTCTATACAAAAAATTATGTAATATAAAAGCAACAAAGTCAGTGTGTTGGTTAATCATGCACAATCAAATTCAACAATAATTATGAACCATATCAGCAAGTAGTGATGATTAAAAATAATCAGATTAATCTCTATAATAACAACAGTGATAAATATGTATCTCGATTGAAAACCGATATTTAATTAAAGACATGCCATTGGAGAAAAAAAATTAAATCAGTACAAACCAAACAACTAAACCAATAGAAGATTTTATCTAAAGTTCTAACTGAATGAAGATTAAAGATATTTGTAACTGGAATGAAACGGTACCGAAAGATCTTAACACAAGTGGTTAAAGAATCAGAGTAAGAAAAAATAATATAAAGCATGCTGGATTTTATTATGTATTCTAGTAAAAGCACAAAGAACAAATAAATTAAACTATGACCGATCTTAGGGAATCAATTGCTCCAGTATTCCTGCAAAAAAAACTGTGATATTCCTGCCTGAAGCTGCCCAGAATAAAAAATAAATAAATCTTTAATTAAATCGAAAAAATTATTAAAAACCACGGAACCAATAGAAATTTGCATAATTACAATCCAACCAGGACCATTTTGCAGACCATCCAGACCCGTTCCATAAAATTCGGATCTCTTTCTTCATAACTTCCAAAAACTTTGTACGACTTGGTGTAAATGTAATCTTGGTGTAACTGTACAGCTTATAAAACATCGACTGATATAGACTTTATCAATTACAAAGTTATTCTAAACTGAACTAAGTCGCACTTTTTGATTTGTAATATTCGACTAGTTTTTACATTTGCATTATGTTTTTTTATGGAGATAGTGTTGTTAATGATATATTTATTGAAGTTAAAATAAATAAAGATTAATTTATAGAGAAAAACTAGAGACATTATATTATATGAAATGTATTTTACATAAACTTAGTACAAGTAGATGAAAAGTACATGCCATAACCTATAAACACACAACTAATCTACAATTGGCCATTGGACGTCGATCAAGTGAATATCATTGCAGAAGTCCCAAGCTGCACATTGCCAGAAACAACGATTGCATCTCCACCGTGTTCTAGATCCATCTAAGGTGACTACAAACACCGGTTCTATTACTGTAGAGCACCAACAAGCATGTGAGACATTGGGATCTATTCTTTCCAGTACAGACCTAACACCTCAGGTTTTTCGTAACCCCAATGGTCTGAGGATACCGAAGTCGTGATCATGTAATTCATCTGATTAACAGATTCATGACTAAATCATGTATCATCAACTCTAAACACTAAGTTCAGCATTCCATCTACATACTTGGCCAACAACAATCCTCGCTCACCAGCAAAATAGATTTTGTCCCTTCCTTCATCAAGTAAATGGAGGAAGAAGAACTCATACATACCTCGCATGTAGATGGCCAGATTGGTAGCACCTAAGCCTGAATGTCCTAACAGCATTAGTCTCATCAATCCAGTCATTCAAGTTAAAGAGATCTACAGATTGCTGAACCCGGAGAAAGCAACTCTTGCACTACCAAAGTCCCGGAGATGGCTTGTTGCTACCTTTGAGAGAATGTTATGAAGCATGGAAGGATGGAGAGAAGCCAAGTTAAAGTTTGACATGGAGAGATATTTTTTTAATCAAGTAAATGTAGAGATTTTCGTTTTTTTTTATTTGGATAAGGTGATAAACCCTTTGATAATGGGGATGATCCTCTAACCAAAATACAAGTAGTAGGGAACTTCAACTGACGTTATGAGATAAGTATAAACTGAGTATTTTTTTACCCCACTTAAGGGTGATTTGATAGACGTCTCGAGAACACACGAGTTCAGAAGACATGACTTCTCAGTGCAACAACATGCGCATGGATTGGATTTAAAACTTTGAAAAACATTAATCGATAAAGATTTATAACTGTGTATAAGTGAAAGTAACTGATTTAGATAGTCTAAATTCATGAAACTAAGCACAATTTAAACAATTTAGATTGTCTAAATATATGAAACTATGTAAAATGTTAAGAAAATTAGATTTTCTAAATTTATAAAACTACTATAATGACAGAAACTAACATGGGAGATAATAAATTGAAATGGTAATATTTAGTTTTAGAAAAATCATGTAATTAATGATTCAAGCAGTGATGTGTCCATTTAAGGGTGATTTGGTTGACTCCCCGAGAAATCACGACTTCTCTCACACGCCTTCTGACTACAACAGTCATATCTCTTGAATTTGGAAATTTGTATAACTTTAATTTATTAATTAAGAATTATAACTATGTATAAGTAAGTGAAACTAAGTGATTTAGATTGTCTAAATTTATGAAATTAAGAAAAACGTAACAGTTTAGATGGTATAAATATTTGAAACTATGTAAAACTTATTATACTTTAGTGGATATATTTAATGATCAGTATCCAAAACTTATTATACTTATATATTTAATGAAAGAAACTAGCAGTATAGGATTAATGATTTATTACCTCAACTTCCATTTTGTAGCTCCTCTATTTATGGGTGATTTGATGGACTCCTCAGAATAACACGACGTCTCTCATGAACAAAATCTCTTATAATAATCATTACACTTGCATTTAAACACCTCAACATTATACCATCTACAATCATCATCACCATTGCATTTAAACTCCGCCACGGTAAGTTAAATCGTCTCCTTCAGTCCAGATATAACATTTTTCTGCAAAACTCACCAAAAAAAAGCAAAGAAAAGATTTATCATCTTCTCTCTCAACAAACAAAATGACACACTACAATAAGCTTCCTGAAGTTTCTTATAACCCCAAGATCACGGCTTGGAATTCCAGAGTCAAAATACACAGGATCTACTTTTTCTATTCCTATGTTACCAGCAGTGGACCTTTCTATACCTATGTCCTAGCAGATGAAGAGGTACATGTTAAATAATCATCTCTCAAGTTTCTAATAACATGTAACCGTGAAAAATAAAAACTTGATCCTTGTACTTTATTTATATAGGAAACCAAGATGGAGATGACCATTTATGCGGATTATGGTAGGTTTAGAGGCCTAGAGAAGCAAGAGGGAAAATAGGTGAAAATCTTTCTGGTAGAAGTTAACCGTTCCTATCCAGGTTTCCAGGCAACTAACTCTTGGTTCAAACTAACTGCTACATGCTATACACAAGTCCACATCATCAATCCTCTGAATAATCGGCTTTTCATGGATTTCAAGAACATCCATGCAATCCCTCACATAGACCACATGGACCAAAACTATCCCATAGGTATAAATGCAACTAAAATTTAAATATATTCACATGTTTAGATTTATAAAACTAAGATAAACTAAGAAATATGTAAAACTTGTCTGGTTGATACAATGGGAGTGATTTTCAGCATGGAAGCCCATTTTAATGACCCTGCAACTCCAAGAATGTTGTTTCACATAAGGGACAACATGTACGTAGAAAGTAACATATGATCAAAACAAAATTTATCTATATTGTAATTGACACACCTTTTTTTATTCTAAATAATGACAGTCGGATAAAATGTGTGGCCACTAGCAATCATGCTTCTGCCTTTCGGGATGGTCTTGAAAACATGAGAGGTCATGCACAAGTGATTGTGGTCCTTAATATGTGGAGGGTCTGGAAATTTTTGAGTAAGTGTAGTTTATATGTATAGTTTCAAATGTGATAGTTGAGTAAAACGTTTACTAAACTCATTTATACAGGTTATTTTGGTCCTCTTGATCTATGGCTTGAGACCGAGGGTGGATTATCTGACTTCAGATTCAATCCGCATTTGTCGGAGGTTGAGGAGTTCACGCAGTCTCTACTACGCAGTGACCATTATGTTCAAAGATATGGGGCTGTAGGTCTTTTGTAAATCTTGTTGTTCTCAATGTTTTCCATCTTCGTACTTGTCTTAAACTTGGTGAAACTTTGTTTAAATGCTGGTGAAACTTTGTGGTTTTAACTTTTTCAATTTTTCAACTTCGACAAAATAGATGAACTAGAAGTTCGTGTTCGTATAAACTGGTAAAAAATTGTGTTTTCACTTTTAATCAATTGTCCAACTTTGTAAAATTTAGACAAACTTCAAATAGGTCAGACTTTGTGTTACTTTCACTTTCTCAATTGTCTAACATTGTAACAATTATAGAAACTTTTTGATAGATCAAACTACATCCAACTTCGCATAACTTTGGAGAAATTTACAAAAAAAAAAAAAAAACAGAAAGTCTAACTTTTTCATAGCTGTAGGAATTGAATTCTCTTAGGAATTATATATTGTACATCATAATTACTAGAACTAAAACGCCAGTAAGAATAACACAATCTCCTGATATCTTTATATTGGGCATTATTTTTGGACCTTCACTAAGTTCACCTTCACTCCTTGTTGTTGCTTTGAGAAATTGTCTTCTTCTAGCATTTCAACTTGGTAGTCCAACTGGTGTATCTCATCGGTGAAAGCTTCATCAACCCATTTGAAGACGTGATTGTTGTTCTCAAGCTACAACAGATTAAACGTACCAATTAAAAGAAGAACGAGTAAGCCTTCAATAACTAAAGATAAACAGATGTACCCTTAGTGAAGCCGCATAGAAACACCAATAATATCGGTGATAAGGATTTTGATTGCTTCTGGAGATGAGCTCGGTGATGCTCACCCTGCACCAACACTTACTAGGTATTCCTAGAGTTTGTACTCATCTCCGACCACTGGTCGTGGAAGATGAAGCGAACATCTCCATTATTTCTCTCTCAGGTTTGAGAGGAGTTCGGTTGGGAGAGAGAGATAAATTAGGAAAGAGAGAGAAAGGAGGAGATAGCAAATGGGGAAAACAAAAAAAAAATGTCTTTAATACTTTGATTAAACGATTTTGGGATTTTAGGAAATTGGGAAGAGAGAAATAAGAAATTTGAAAAACTGGGAGGGAAATTTTATCCAAAGATTTTCGTGGTAGAAGTTTGACCAAGTTTTTAGTTTTATAGAAAACATCAAAGTTGTACTTTTTAATTATTTCCATTTATCTTAGTTATATTCTACTTGAATGATTGATTTTATAGTTATACCAATTAAATTATGTTTCCTTGATCCATTTCACATATGATCATGTACACATAAACTTGATTTTGTGCCATTAGCAAATTTTCAAATGTAACGTGGTGAGTATTAACGAAAAAGTTATGAGAATGTTGTGTATTTCCTAAATGATTGCTAACAAGCAATGAGATGGAGTTTTAATAATTCTGATTAGATCATAATTATCATAAACATTAGTAATAAATCACCATCTTATTACTTCCACGACTTATTAACAAGTTTGGAATTTACAATCATATTACTCAGTTTATCTATCGTATTTATACGAGTAAAGAAAAAAGTTTTCACTTGGTTGTACAACACACAAATAAAAATTTCACTTCACAACGTTCTCATGCGATAAAAACATCAAAACTGAAAGTGAAAGACTTACAACCTACTTCACATCAAAACTGAAAGTGAAAGACTTACAACCTACTTCCCACCAAAACTGAAAGCAAAAAGTTTATAACCTGCTTCACATCAAAACTGAAAGCAAAAGGTTTACAACCTACTCATCTTCTATTTCTTGTGGGGGTGTTCATCGTGTTTCAAACAAGTGTCCACATTCTCTTCTTCTCCATATCCATTATCACGCTCCCTATAATTCCTACTACAAGAGCTTTCTCCAATTCTGGATAGTTGCTCAGTTATTTGAACTATTTGCAATTCTTGGATGTCCTCCACATGCAAAATACTTCTTCTTTGCTTTCTATCCACTGATGTTAGATAAACAAACAAATCTTTATCATCCAAAATATATAATTGTCTCTTAGGTTCCACTACCAATGGAATGTAACCCAAATTGAGCCTCTTTGTAAATGGATCTATTCCCATCTTCCTGCATATCCTCTCCTTCAACAATGAATAAGTGATCTCCTCTAATGATGATGTCTTAAAAAAATATAGCATACAAATGAGCATCAGTTGGAATCCATTCATAATCATCTCTAGCCTTCGAATAATGTTCATCATAATCAAAATGTATGTTCGTCGAAAAAAGACACAGTGTCTGTAATTTGAAAAAAAAAAAAACCATTAAAATTATACTTGGTTATACAATTATGCCATTAAAATTATATTTCGTTATACCATGTAACAGAGTTTTGTCAGTAATTAGCCCATCTAATCTAACCAAGTTTCCCCAAGTTTCAGAGTTCTAGATGTTTCTCTCAAAACCAAATAGTAATCAGCTTTTTTCGATTGAATCGTCCTTTCATTCCCGACATTCAATCATACAGTTGTTGATTATCCAATTGAGTAATAGACAAACAATCCACACTTTCCGATACTCATACATAAATGAATAAGAAACTTTCCCTTACTACGAATCGAGTTTCAATTCAAAACCAAATTGTAATCAACTTTGATTTCCAGCATGCAATTATATAGTTGTTGATTATCGAGTTCTCTAATGAACAGACTATCCAAACTTTCCGACCGTTGACTAGTTCATTCACAAATATGAAATCTCTATCTAAATTGGAATCCCTGTGAATAAATCGTCTATGGTGAATTCTAAAATGATTTGAAATACAATCACTTCCAAACATAATCAATAGTTCAATGATTCAGTATCCAAGCGACGAACCCGAGTTAACAATTCGATGATAGCGAAGAACACCACGAAAAAGACAAGAGCAATTTACGAGAGAGATGATCGAGGAAAGGAGGCTTAACTCGAGAGAATAGGAATATGGAAAATAGATTAATTCATTAATTTAAGAGTATACTTTTTCCATCTTTAAGAGTATCTGAGATTATTTTCCGATCTTAGAAATACTTATTTTTAGTGGATAGGCATAGACATTAGCTAGGCGATTAGAGTGTTTGTATATCTTTATTTCATAAGTAAAGAAACTCTACTATAACGTGTTACAAAGAAAAACTGTTTGTATATCTTTATTCCATAAGTAAAGAAACTCTTCTATAAATATTTCTGCATCTTAATAGTTATCTATATCTGTATTATCCATAAAAGTTTTTGTTTTTATAATTTTCTGATTAGTCTGAAAAATTGCGTAATTATAGTCGTTGATTATGTTTGTCAGGCAGAATTGGTGCAGTATGTTTAATTGCTAATCAGGGATTATGATTTGATTTGATTTTTAGCTGTTGCTGGAGTCTGCATTGTTTATACCTATCAATTTAAATATTAGACTAATGAGCAATTTGTTAAAATAAAATTTCTGAAGAACATATTTTTATATCAAACAATATTTAGCAGCTTATTTTAGTTTCTCATTGTCATATTTTGATTATCTAATTATCTAAGTTATAAGAACATATGAAGTTGGTGGGACTTGTTATAGTAAAGCTACTGTAATTTCTGTTCAGTGCATCTTACGTTGTTCTGATAAGATCATCATAGTATGAGTAACTGAATCTAAGAATCATTTTGGAAGACACTATTAGTGGATGTAAAAATGATTAATTAACTGGTTAGTAATATCTTATGATCGGTGATAAAATCAAAAACGAATCATGTTTCCAAATAAATTAAGGCCAATTTCGAGTAATGATTTCATATTATTCAATTCAACTTGAGGAGAGGGCAGATTCAGAAGCTAAACAAAAGTATCATCAAATGCACAAAGCATTAATCAGATCAAGTGTTGGATTAGATTTATTGCTTCATCATAATCACCTGTGTATTTGTCTAATATTGTGGAAACAAAATAACTAAAATTAAAGCTTTTCAAAATCAATCATTTATAGATGGGACAAAGGAGATGACTCAGTGGTGGCTAGTAAAATTAGGTTCGATTCTGCCAGCAAGTTACTTCAGCTGAACTCAGAAGAGGGAGCGTTATATCCTCATCGTCATCTCCAAAATCCCAAATGATTTTCATTTTTTTTAGGCAAAACAAAAGTTTGGTAGAACAAATCTCAATTTCAAAAAAAAAAACGGATCGATTGAAAGAGAAAGAGAAAAAGGCTCAGTTCAGCGGGGGTATCGACACAGAAACGAATCTCGGAAGAAACGCCTAATTCCGGTCTGTTGAGCTTGAATATTTCCGAGTCGTCACTGCCTTTCTCTATCTAACAGAGAAAAAACCGAAACAATTAAAAACGAAGACGATGATTAAACAGAGAAAAAGCTATTCGCTTTAGAGAAAACAACTCTAGATAGATGAAACTATTGATGAAATACTCCGTTTGCTATCTAATTTATATACTGAAGGGAAGTTAGGGTTTTGCGAGGTCTTCACTGGAGGCCCATTATCAATCGTTAGTTTTCTAGGATTTGTTTCGTTAATTTCGGTTCGATTGGGATTTGGTTCTCTTATATTGGTTGTTGGTTTAATTTGATTTTGAAATTATTTGGTTTGGTATGAATCAACATTAAAACTGAGATACTGTAATATCCAAACCTACCACTTGGGGTGTTTGGTTTAATAGTTTACTTGAAGTAGCTCCATGGCTTTCACGAGTGACCGGGCATCCCATAGCAGATGACCCACTTTATCTCACTCGCAACACGTGGATAATCTTGAGACCAAGATTGCCAAAAGAATTGATGCAGGTGAAAGAAAGCTTGTCTCCCCCCAGACGACTATGTGTATCTCCAGTGAAGATCTCAACATCGATCCAAACTGCCCAAAGTTGATCCCACAAGGGTATAATAAAAGACGCTATCAGTGTTCTTTTTGTATTGAGTCAAATGGTGTCTCTCATTTTTACTTTGCCATTTCTTAGACAAGAAACTTTTATCTCTTATTACCAACAGTTGTGGCAACTCACTTGTATACAGGTTGTACTATGATTATAATCTGACCAAGATTATTTATTCGATTCAAAGATTCTCTCTCATCCCACTCCCACAGTTTATGAAATTTAACTTTGTAACCATTATTCAGCTAAAACCATGTGCAGAAAAAGAGGACCACTATTGAATTTGGATTAGAGAACCTAAGCAGTACCAAAAAGGCCATTGCATATTCTTGTAGTTGTTCCATTCACATCTTGTGTTCAGACATGTAATCGCAAACTACATTGAATTTCACCGCTTATAAAAAAAGAACAACTTGGTCTTCCTCTTCAGTATGTCATCTGTTATGTTCATTTCTGGAATGCAAGGATCTGTCTATCAAATCCTTTGCTTACGCCAGACAAGCTTGATGTAAGATCTTCCACTGTTCTAAACCCAATCTGTGCCGAAACCAAAAAAAAAACACACAAGTAACAGAACATGAGGATCCCACGGAGGAAGCCAATACTACCTTATTACAGAAATTTGGTATGTTCTGTACATAGTTTTGACAGATTCTATAAATCAAATAGGATTCTCGACAAAATAAGGAAGTAAAAGGAGTACAATACCTTATCAAGAAGTATTTCTTGGAAATGTTCTGGACGTAAGACAATGGTTCGGTGATGCATTGCAGTTGTCTGCAGTCACAGAAGACAGAGGAACAGATTCAAACTATATACATAGGCTAGCTTGTGCAGTACTCTGAAACATCAGAAATAAAATTGTGTGTAAATACACACCTCTGAGACACGACGATTCTTTTCATAAGATTTCCAAGGCTGAGGTTCCATTACGAAAATACCACCCTGAAAAAGAAAATCCAAAAACTGTTCAAATGCGTCATATGAAAAGCAATAAGAAAATAGGCACACTCAGTAGGTATAGTATACTAGATTACCGGATTTAGAAGACGCCAGATTTTCGAAAATAAGGTGATCAAACCATCGTCACCCCAGTTCAAATGAATCCATTTTGTCACACTCAAACTGCATGAAACAAAGAAAACTTGTCATCAGTAAATTGTTAACCTTTAGTTTCAGACTTAATGACAAACAAGACAGATGAAGTTACTATTTCAACAAAAAGTGAGACCTTCTTTTAGAAAAAAGGCTTAGTTGCATATGATTTTTAACACGAAACCGGTAAGGATTTTCTTAACAACAGTTGAAAAATTTCATAAGCATTTAGAGGTTTCTGTTCTTTTGATTTTCAGTCCACAAAAAGACAGGCCAAACGTAAGAGCAAAAAGAAGGGAAAGTGATTTACCAAAGAATTGTATCATAACGATTCTTGTCAAGGCTTCGGGTGTGAACAAAATTCTCTTTCTGAAACGACACAATCTGGAACAGGTCTCTAGCTTCTGCGCTGCTTGTCTTGACTTCACCATTAGAGAGAGAAATAGATTGCAACTCTGAACCATGTACTACTCCATCTGAACTAGATTTCTTTTCACCTGCCTTGGCGTGATTCTGCTTCCTAACAAAATTCCTAAGATGCCACTGAGCATCCCCAACGCGACCTTCAATAAATAAATAAAAATCCTAGTTCAACGCACAGGAAGTGATGATTGTTTAAGTAAGGATTCACAACATACGTATCAGGATAAAGTATACTCTGTTATGTGTTTCACTTGATATGAGCTACTTAATTAAATCGAACAAAACATTTTTCTGCAGACTTGAATGATAAACTCAGTGAAAACAAGTAGTTCTTACTTGAATCAATATCAACTCCAAGAATGCTCCGGCAACCAAACTTATTAGCTGAAGGGAAAAAAAAACGATTATCAGAGAAGACGATTATACAAAGATTGTAGATGCTGAGTAACAACTTCAAAGTATTGCCAAAAGGGACAAAAACAAGAGAAAGTGTCAGACTTTAATACAGCAAGAAAACCAATCTACTAAACGGCGCATTTACGATGAACAGGTGAAGCTTAATGTTTAGTAGTTTCTTGTAGTTAAGAAAACTAATCTTCACACATCTACAACAACAAATATGCATAATAGATTCTTGTAGTATGAAGTGATATATATTATAATGAAAAAGAAGAAAACTCTGTACCAATATGGATAGTCATGATGCCGCTATTGCAGCCGATGTCAAGACAGTCCTTGCCTTGAAACCATTCTTTCTTCAACACTTTAAGACGAGGATCCTCATCCATATCATTGCTTATCTAAACACGTTAATTTGTCCAAAAAGCGATGCAAAATCAGCAGACAAAACACTAAAACATCAAAAGAGATAATCAGAGACTATACATAAAGGAAGGAATGTGACTAACTCGATAGCCGTAGTAGTTTTTGTAGTTTCCGAAGGGATAGGACTCTTGGCTTTTCTTCTTCTTCTTGTTTGGATTACAATTCCCTTGTTGTTGTTGCTGCTTCGGCTTCTGAATATCTTCTTCATTAGCTATCACTTTCTCTTGTCCTTGTTGCTGTTGTTGAATCTGCTTCGCTTCATCAGCTACTACTAGCTCAACACTCTTCTCGTTGCTTCTACTTCTCTTCTTCCTCTTCTTCTTCAGGTCCTTCTCCTGACCCATTGTGCTACTGAACAAAAGCCCACGAGTTTAGGGTTTTCCTTTGTTGTTAATGAGATGAGCTTGACGATTAGAAACGAAACAACACGAGGAAGGAGAAGAAGCGGCGCCAGAGCAAGGTCAGAAGGAGAATCGTCGTCCAAGTTGTAAAAGAGGTTTAACGAGTCTCTAAATTAAGTAATGTCTCCCTTTTGAGGGTAAATATATTTTATAAACCCATTTCTATCAAATAATTAGTAGTGTATTACATATTATGTTGTAGATCAGTCATCTATTTAGACATTTGACATATAAAGAAAACTCTATAAATTAATAATATTGAAATTTTGATATTTTAATTTATAGAATTATTAATTTACATAAAAATACCTTTTAAATATTTATATATTTTAAATTATGTTTTACGTAAAAATATAAATACTTGACTTTACTGGATATGTATTGATTGAATTTTATTAATGCAAAACTTATATTTTTCTTATTTGATTGTTTGATGTTTACACGTAAATGTATATACATTTTAAGTATAAAATGAAAAAAATAACATCAATGTATTTTTTGATCAAAAAAGTATACATAAACGTATTTATAAATATTTAAAAAAAATAAAAATAAACTTCACTATAAAGAAAAAATCAAATGGAATTACTGATTATATATGTAATATTTATACTGTTTTTACGAATGGTTTTTACAAAAATGTATTATCTTATTATTTTATTGCATTATGTAATATTTTACATTGGCCTAACTTATAACCGGCAAAATTTATTAATTTATAGTGTTTATTAATTTATCGAGTATTTGTTTATAAATTTTCTATTGTATTAATCTATTACATTTTTATTTGTATGACTCTCTTTTTTTATTATTTGTACAACTCTGCTCAAAAATGAAAAGAAAAACTCCTTCCACATTTGAATTTTTAAAAAGGTTTTCTTAATTAAATATTCTGGTTTTTTTTTGTTACAATAAAAGATATAAAAAACAAAAAAAAATAATCAAAAAATAAAAAGGAAAAATCATAAACAGAAAACTTCTGTTGGACTTGGAAAACAAAAGTCCAATTAACAAAACCATCCATAAAAATCCTAACCGACCAAACATTAAATCCTAGCCACAACATAGAGAAAAGACTAGGTCTTGGCATTCATGGTCCAAATCAAGTTTCAGTTTGGGTTCAATCAGTTTTGAGTTTTCGGGTTTAGAAAAATTAACATTTTAATCTTATAATTTTGGTTTGGATTTAATTTAGTAACATACCCAAAAACTGATTGGACCCGAAATAATTTTGGATTTTGGATCTTAATCAGATTTTAGTTCTAAAACACTAATTTGTACCTGGTTAGACCCTTAAAAATACTTACTAATGTATTAATGTAAAGAAAACTTATCTAAATGTATTGTATTTTATGTCTCAGTGCTATAATATACGTTAACCAAAGGGTCATGTGTACATTATCTTGATATAAACTAATATAAATTTAAATCACACCTAATGTAACATAAAAAAAAATTAAAGTTAACAATTAATAGTTCTATAAACATAAAAACACTATTTAAATTTAAAAAATAACAACATTGTTTATTCAAAAAAAATTATTCATAACTAAGCTTCCAATGCAATGTCAACATAAAACATTAATATTAACCAAATAAAAATATATATTAGACTAAGTATTTGAGTTAATTATTCATGTAATAACTAATTATTGTAGGTACTCAATAATATCTTTGTGTGTTTTGGATAAATATTATAAACGGAGATTAGGTATGGTTCATTTTTTTCTGAAATTTTTAAGTTTAAGGTTTTTTGGATATTCATTTAAGTTCAGATTTGGTTTGGGTTCGGATTCATTTTTATCGGGTCGAATTCGGTTCGGATTTTCGAGTTTAGTTTATTTACCCAGCCCTAGAAGAAACCATTGCCAACAACCACATTACTAACGAGAACGAGAACCACCATGTCACGATGGAACATAAGAGAAAAACTGAGCCGAAGAGGAGTAGAACGAGATCACTACATAACCACTGCCATTTGAGAAGGAAGAGAAAAGGATATTGGCGCCGATCCAGTCAAGATCTGACAACTGGTACTTGAAGTTCCTTTCAAGATCCTCCGTCGTTGACAAAGCTAAAGAATGATCAAGTGGAAGAAGGTCGTTGTATGGCCACAAAAATAGTCAAAGAATGGCTGAATAATGAAATTCGAGCCAAGACGATTTTGATAAGCAGCCTAAGTTCTAATTGATGAATAAATATGGATAAAGCAACATTTCTAATGAAAGTAAAGGAAAAAAACATACAAAGATTCACTTCTTTGGGGTTCTATTAGTCTATGTTCCTCTTGGACTATCAATAACAATAAGATACAACTTTTCTTCATGTTCTGAAAATATTGAAATCAGACATGTTAGTGATTTTCATGATAGCAAATATTTTAAAAGCTTTAACATAAAGATGGATGATATGGAATTTAGATATATATGCAGTGTAGTGGGAGTTTAGCTGGCTTCAAGTAACATCAAGCTCAAATATTTGATAGTGTAGATGGTTGCATTTTTTTAATATCCCCTATATATTATTTGGGGATCATTTAAAAAATTGTAACATTAAGTTTGTATTAATTAAAAATAACTTCAATCCTATGTGGCATCTCTCTTTACCTTCTAAATTCTATTTAACACAATTCTAGAGCACCTTACATATACCATAGTTTAAACATATATTTACTAGAAAGATTTTGGTCATATATCTTATTACTATTAAAAATATTACTTATTCTTTCCTTAAATAAAAGATACGGAATTACCTAATGTGATTAAAAAAATATATGACAATTAATAATTTCAGTAATAAATATTTGCTAACAATTTGTATACCCTCTACCATATTTGTTTAAATATTTGTTACTAAAATACTTTACACAATTACATTATTTATATAATAAAAATTTCTATTTTTCCGTGTATATTATATTTTGAATTTTTTTGAAACGGATATAAATTACTAAATTGTTAAATATCTCAAATAAAATTTTTGTGATCAATGGTTTAATTTTTATTATAATAAGATACAAATAATTACAAAACACATGAGTAAGACGTCTTATTTAATATGTTTATATTAATACATATATATAATTTAAATTAAATTACATACCATATAAATACATACTTATATTTTGATATTTTCATTGAAAAATATTTAGAATTTAATATTTTAATTTTAAAATTTGCATTCAATTTTTAATAGTTCATAATTTTGCTATAAAAATATATTGATAATCATAAAACCTTATAATGAGAAAATTCATTTACTGAACATCCATATTTAAAATATCTTATAGATATTTTTAATGTCATTTAAATGTAATTGTATTTAATATATGAATGATAAAATTGATTGTGTTGATTTATTTACCATAAATGATTGTTAATAAATAAAAAGAGAAATTGGCATCCATATACACACATCTATTATATTAAAAGAGAAGTCATGATTCACTTCTTGTGTGATATTTTAGTTTGGACCATCTTTAGAATTTTATAAAATTTTACATAACATTATAATATCTTCTCATATCTTTAATTTTTGTTTGAAATACAAATAAATAGTTTTAAGAAAATTCTAACAAAATCTTTAAAAAATCTTTTAGAATCTTTTTCAAGATATAGTTTCAAAAATTATTTGATTAAAATTTTAATTATCATAAAATATAATTAAAGTTTTGATTGATTTTTTATTTATAAAAAAAATAAAAATTATGTAAAATACTTTTAACAATATCCCAAAATTTTGTTTAAGTATTATGTAGGTCCAACTTAATTTAAATTTTACATAGATTTCAAATTTAGAAATATAACAAAATATATAAATTAGTAATGTTACATAATATTATTTTTAAAAACTGTTACAAAAATACAAATTTATAAAGTTTATATTAATAATATCAAAAGGCACATAAAATTATTATAAAATTGTATAGCATACAGAATCAAATTATACTTATTTATTGATAAATTTTATTATATAATTTCATATATTTTCGTATTAAAATACCCGCACGGTTGTGCAAGTCGAAATCTAGTAACTGCTTAATTTGCATAGATGGAACTTCTACTATTCACTTTTAATAATGGCAAGACTGCCCCTATAATTCCTATATGAACCTAATAGTTCAATTATCTTATTGATATTTTTCTTCTTTTTCTTCTTCTTGTCTATCGATATCTTTCTTTCTCCACTCAAAAAATCCATTTTCTTCCTAAAATTCAAGTTTTCATCTTCAGAGAAAACCCGTTCAATCTGTCTCAATTGATTTATGTAAAGCCATAGTTCGTATTTAGTTTGTTCTTGTTGAAATGTAAACATGGTTTTGGGCCCTCTCACTAGTCCAAAATTCAAAGCAAAAAGTCAAGAAGCCCAAAAAGCCCAAGAAGCCCAAGAAGAAGAAGTGTGTAGAAGAAATTATGGATAAAACTAAGAGAAGGATCTAGAGATAGCTTAAGTAGTATAAATAGGGATGCTTGGCTCACTTGTAAGAGCATCCCACAACAAGCAAAAGCAATCATAAATAAAGAGTAGTAGTTTTAAAGAAAGAGTTCTCTCTAAAAGAGTTATAAAACTCTCTCTAAATACAAAGCTTGAGTAGCAAATCTCTTTTCTAAATACGGAGGCTAACTTTTATAGTAGCAGTCCAATTTCCAACTTATCCGCTACTAGAAACGTTATCCCGCTAATAATCCCAACAAAGTGGTATCAGAGCTACGGTGATGGCAAATAGTGGTGTTCCCTTCCAAGTTCCGGTCCTGACGAAGATCAACTATGATAATTGGAGTTTAAGGATGATGGCGATCCTAGGCGCACATGATGTGTGGGAGGTAGTAGAGAAAGGTTTTCTTGAACCGGAGAATGATGGTGGTTTATCTCAAACTCAAAAGGA